CCAGACATGTCCCCAGAGCCACCTCTCCTCCCCTGCCCTTCTGAAATAACCTGGCTCTGCAGAACTTGCCGTTTGGCATGAAATGATTTTTCCGTAGTGCTTTGTGAGGGCTAAAAAATCTGAAGCTGTAATAGTCTTGGCTTTGCTGGTGCGGACTCAGCTTCCGGAGTGGGTTTTGCTGTCAGACCGCAGCTGGGCTCGCCGGTATTTTTGAGGGAAGTCACCCAGCAGCTGACGGAGCGGCTGGCTCTGCTCTGGGGGGGCTGCAGCTAAACCAACCCTACGCACACTGGGGCTGAATTTTACCCAATTGGAAGGTGGATGCTAAGAAATTAAAGGGTTAAATGTTTCTTCTGCCTTTTGGTAGAAGACACCGGGGCATTTCTTTTGAGTCAGCTCAATGCCCCTCTCAGTCCCACTGACAAGCCAGCATTTAATTCCCATTTCCCCCCTCGCCTGCTCCTCCACAGCGCAGATCCCAGGGACTACAAGCAAACAGCTAATGCAGATAATATAAGAATGGCAGAGAAATGACCTGGAAATGCCATGGGCGGGTTAAACCCAACACCGGGCCGTGCACCTGCAGAGCAAACACAAGCCCTGCGACCGAGCCAGCAGCCGGGGTCTAACTCCAAGGGATGGATGTTACAGTCACCCCCAGCCCCGGACTCCAGTTTCAAGGAAACCCTTCGCACGATATTGCATCTGTCCCTTGTCTAGGTTAAACTGTAAGCTTTTTATGGCGAGGAAGGGCTATTTTTGGACTCTGCACTGATGCTGGCTATCAGCAGGCTGTGCCCCTGCGACCGAGCCAGCAGCCGGGGTCTAACTCCAAGGGATGGATGTTACAGTCACACCCAGCCCCGGACTCCAGTTTCAAGGAAACCCTTCGCACGATATTGCATCTGTCCCTTGTCTAGGTTAAACTGTAAGCTTTTTATGGCGAGGAAGGGCTATTTTTGGACTCTGCACTGATGCTGGCTATCAGCAGGCTGTGCTGAATTCTGCCAGCTTCCCCTCCGCTGCCTGCTTTGCTCCTGCTTTCTGCTCTGCCTCTCTTACCTCTTGCCTTCCTCAGAATTTTGCTCTCCACCTAACCCGCCTTTGCAGCGAGCACAAAGGGCCTCTAGGTCAGAGAAAGGGCTGTTGGTCTCTGCATGGCATCCGTGGCACTTTTGGGCGTAAGGCGGCTTAATCCCATGCTTAGACATCCTTGCCCCTTAGGGCAGCCAGCACGCACACCTGGGCTGCTGTAAGGAAGGAGGTTCAGAGGTTAAACA